GTGACCATACACTATAAAGTAAACTTGATTAAAATTGCTAATTAGTTATGGAAGGAAAAATAGCTGATTACAACATTACATATTTCGTAGGGAATACGGCACAAATTGTGAATACACATTAGGTAATTCTGAAATAAAAAATAGTACCAAGTCATGATTACGCTCTAATTTCACTGTTTTCTTTTGTTAACTTGAAAATAGGGACGAGATAATTCAAATAGTGACAATAATTCCAAGTTAGACTAACAAATGAAAACAATGAAATTAAATGTTATCATGGTGTTTTCAGCTATTTCACGGGTTGTGTTCCCTGGGGAAGGGCTTGCACATCTCCCATGCATTTAAAGCATTGTCTTCAATTTCTCTTCGGACGACTGTATAATACCCAATAGAAAACAGAAACAAAGGTTGCGCAGTTTTTTTGAGTATTTTGGGAGATGTGCACTTGGTGAAGAGCGGCTACTCAGTTTTTTACTAAAATCATTCTAATGCTTTAATTGCACATCACCCCCAAGTTGATAAAACTTTGACGAGTTCTACGCGCTTTCAGCTTTAAAAGGAGGTGCAATTTGCGTGAATCGGATAAGATATTAAACATTTGTAAAAAAAACTGAGATTTCTTGGATAGTTTACTCTATTTCTCTCCCGTCCTTCTACCCCTTATGGGCCTCCCCCGAGCTCGCGAGGTTCTGCGATACATGTATTTATATTTATTGGAGTGATAGCAGGGGTGGATCCAGGAGAGCGCCCCCGGGGGGGGGAGCGGCCCCCCTTAATTTTTTACCAAACGAAGACCCGAAGGGCCGAAAAACTTTTTTTTGAGACCGCCCCCCCGCCTCCTCCCCTTATCTGTAGGTCTCGATCCGTCACTGGATCTTGCCTCACTGAAATGCTCAAAAATTGTTGGCAATCGTTGGCATCACACGAGGTGTGCGAGATGGATCTTGCTAGAATGACACCGAAAATTGAATTTTCTTAATTTTTTTTGTGTGAACAAAGTTTTTGCTGTGACGCTTGAATATCTTTCCTTAAATGTTGACATCTTAGTGTACAGTTTCTTTCACTTCGCCTAAATGCCTTTTTAGTGTCCGTTTTTACTAAGGATTCGCTTGTAGTTTGCTTTGCTGACCGCGGGGACGGGGAATAGGACTGGTCAGGGACCGCGGAGGGGGAGGGGCTGGTAGGGCTATAGCCCTACCACTTCTATTGCCGGGATTTATTGCATAGGACTCCAGTTGACATGGAAAAAATTTCCGTCGAATTATTGGACTTTGCCCTATGTTAGAGTGGGATGTTTGTTTTGTCAGAACGATTACAACCCGATGTGAGTGCAAGGATGATAAGATGTAAGGCCCAAATGGAGTGATTTGACTTTTTTCTCTGCTTTGCATCTTGGAGAGCACCTTTATTGCCACACCGATAATCTATCTAAGGATCTTCAGGGTACTAAGATGGCTGCTGTCAGTGGACAACGCCTGGCAAATCTAACAAAGGGGACACTCACAAAAATTCGCATTGATCAAAGCTTTGACCATTTCTATGCTAATGTTGCCCGCAAGAGTGAGGGCCTGCTTGGCGAACCAACGCTTCCAAGAAAACGACACACTCCGGCCAGACTGAAGGTTGGTGCACCAAGCTATCCCCAAACTGCTAAAGATCACTTTGTGCGGGCCTGTTATGAGGCTATTGATCTTATCGTCAGGGCTATCTATCAGAGTGTTAATCAGGAAAGCTTCAGCTCTTCAGCCCAGATGGAGACCCTCTTGCTTAAAGCTGCTAATATGAGGCAGAGTTCAGTTTCTTGAAGCCGAAGCATAATGCAGGGAAGATGTTGCGATACAGGGGCGCTACCTAGGCAACTAAGTACTACGCAAGAAGGAGAAGATATCATATTTTGACGAAATCCTGTTGGCGGTGTTAAAGTTTCCAGAGCCAGAAAAGAAGCTAATTCAGGAAGTCAGTTAAACTATCTGTAAGCTGCTTGCTGTAAATCCTATTACCAGCGCTGCTGGTGAGGGTTCATTCTCATCCGTACGTACGGCGTCTGAAGACGTGACGTCGATCCAGGATGGATGATGAGAGGTTTAGCAACCTAGTAGTAACGTTGAATGGTTACAAGCTGAGAACAGACAGTGTCTCTAAAGCTGACGTCGCAAAGGAGTTTGCGAGCAAGAGAAATTTGGACACTGCTGACAACTTCAAAGTAGCAATTTTAGGAAGGTTTATTCAACATATTGGTTATACTGGATACTATAACACGTGACGACGTTTATGTTATATTTGTTGAGGCTGTAAATAAGATCGCGCGCAAATGCTAGACTGCAAGCAGTCTCTGTTTTTCTTCAGATTTCAAGGGGGAGAGCACGCGCCTGTGAGCGTGTCTCGGGCGTTTTGCTCGACGGACCAAGAGAAAAGAGAGACTGCTAGTAGTCTACGCAAATGCAAGATAAATGGCGAAACACTGAACTTAATGTTTCTTTGTATTGGCAAGATTTTTTAGCCCTACCACTTTAAAATGGTCTCCGCGGTCCCTGCTGGTGTGTACGCGGAGATTTTCGTTTCTTGAAGTTTACAACTTTTTGCTATATAAAAATATATTTTTATTTTTTTGGTCTTACTTTTTTTTCTACACTTTTAGTTACGACATTTACCCATGGTGATTTTCATTTCATAAA